TTTTTAAAGCTCAAATTAGAGCGCACTTTAGCCTGCACCGGTCATGTCCTGTAGGGATATTAACAGCGTCTACGGCACCACACTGATCATTTCTTTCAAATGGACAATTATTTGTTCCAGTCTGAAACGTGTAAAATCGAGTCCAGGCAGCGCTTGACATTTACGATCTATTCATCAAAGCAGACATCCAGACACTTGACTTGATACTTCAGAGCTTTGTCATGTCTCCCTTAAGCAACCACATTTCCACCAAAGAACATTTCCGAGCCAAGAGCTGCTGATGCATGGAAACTATTCCACAGAAGTCTTTCCGAAACACCGCCACCTTGTGACATAACCCAACAAACCGCACACAAAGACATCACTGTATACGCGCATTTCTCCTGATGGAGTTTGCTCCATTCAGTGACATTTTTGACAGTACACCTCTGTATGATAATGCCCTTTATATCACTGGTGCTGCTTTATTTTATACCCTGGCTCTTGCTCTGTTAATGAATCACTGAACGCATCCATGTACATTCTTTACTTCTGATAGGTTTGAAGAACATCCTGGATAACTGTCAGAGAGTTCCCAACCCTGACCAGAAGGACAAAGATAATGACGGTGTTGGTGATGCATGTGACAGCTGCCCTGAGGTGCCAAACCCCAACCAGGTGCCACACGACTTTATTACGAGTTCTATTCTATTCTATTCTATTCTATTCTGTGTATTTTAATTAGATATTTATTGATTGCTGTTGGATATTTATTTGTGGATGCAAGTTTACAGGACAACTGCTGGTTGGTTCCTAACATAGACCAGAAGAACAGTGATAAAGATCTCCATGGTGATGCTTGTGATAATTGCGTAAACGTGGAGAACCCGGACCAGCGGGACTCAGACAAGGACGGACTGGGAGATGCCTGTGATGATGACATAGACGGGGATGGTAATTTAATTCAGGTCTTATTTAGTCAAAGATCACCTTCTCCACACATTTTTTCGATCTCTGCTCCATATGCCATTCAGCTGCTGTGTATTTAATTTAGTCGCAGAAATGGGGTGTTATGTTTTAAATATCCTTTTCACCCTTCGGACCTGTTTTTTATCGTGATTTTCCTGCGCTTAGGTCATTTTGATGTGGAAAAACAGAAGCTTCTGTGTTTTTAAAGCTCAAATTAGAGCGCACTTTAGCCTGCACGGGTCATGTCCTGTAGGGATATTAACAGCGTCTACGGCACCACACTGATCATTTCTTTCAAATGGACAATTATTTGTTCCAGTCTGAAACGTGTAAAATCGAGTCCAGGCAGCGCTTGACATTTACGATCTATTCATCAAAGCAGAAATCCAGACACTTGACTTGATACTTCAGAGCTTTGTCATGTCTCCCTTAAGCAACCACATTTCGACCAAAGAACCCGAGCCAAGAGCTACTGATGCATGGAAACTATTCCACAGAAGTCTTTCCGAAACACCGCCACCTTGTGACATAACCCAACAAACCGCACACAAAGACATCACTGTATACACGCATTTCTCCTGATGGAGTTTGCTCCATTCAGTGACATTTTTGACAGTACACCTCTGTATGATAATGCCCTTTATATCACTGGTGCTGCTTTATTTTATACCCTGGCTCTTGCTCTGTTAATGAATCACTGAACGCATCCATGTACATTCTTTACTTCTGATAGGTTTGAAGAACATCCTGGATAACTGTCAGAGAGTTCCCAACCCTGACCAGAAGGACAAAGATAATGACGGTGTTGGTGATGCATGTGACAGCTGCCCTGAGGTGCCAAACCCCAACCAGGTGCCACACGACTTTATTACGAGTTCTATTCTATTCTATTCTATTCTATTCTGTGTATTTTAATTAGATATTTATTGATTGCTGTTGGATATTTATTTGTGGATGCAAGTTTCCCCCTATTTTTAGATTTCAGATTACTTTTTGGTGTTGTCTAGTATCACCTAATTTGAACCTAATTTATATGGATAGCTTTATAGTGCTAGACTTTAGTTTTTAAAAATCACCTTTCTTGAAAACTGTTTTCCTGCCTCTATTTTAGGGAGTCAAATTATTTAGGCATTTTATCAACTGTTCTTCTCAAAATTAGTAGTTATCCATGTTTCAAACAAGGGTTATTATAGTTAACTACAGTGGGTACGGAAAGTATTCAGACCCCCTTAAATTTTTCACTCTTTGTTATATTGCAGCCATTTGCTAAAATCATTTAAGTTAATTTTTTTTCCTCATTAATGTACACACAGCACCCCATATTGACAGAAAAACACAGAATTGTTGACATTTTTGCAAATTTATTAAAAAAGAAAAACTGAAAAATGCTCAGTATTTAGTAGAAGCACCCATTTGATCTAATACAGCCATGAGTCTTTTTGGGAAAGATGCAACAAGTTTTTCACAACTGGATTTGGGGATCCTCTGCCATTCCCTCTTGCAGATCCACTCCAGTTCTGTCAGGTTGGATGGTAAACGTTGGTGGAAAGCCATTTTTAGGTCTATACTAAAAATATTGTTTTTGTTTCGATATTGTATTAAGTAATGTTAACAAACCAAACTTAATATTAAGGTGTTACCGGTTTATCTCACATTCATTTTCAGGATAACTGCATGTTTGTTCCAAACTCGGGCCAAGAAGACGCAGACAGAGATGGGAAGGGAGATGCCTGTGATGCGGATGCAGACAGTGATGGCATCTTCAATGATCAGGTACAGATTAATCCTCATTAGATCATTATTTCCTTGAACTGAAATGCTCCCTTCAATGTCAGTGCTTGCATGACTGTATTCCTACAGGACAACTGCTGGTTGGTTCCTAACATAGACCAGAAAACCAAAAAAGTGCAATGATTCTTGCAATGTTAACTGAAATCAAATTTCAGCTACAGCATTTCTCATATTTATATATTCATTTAATTTAACTTGATTTAAAAAGGGGGAAATGAATAAAAACTACATAGACATATTTAAATAATAATAATGACAAAATAATCAAAATGACCAAAACAACAAAATTATTAAAACATAACTGAAAAAAAGGAAAAATATAAAAATAAAAACTAATTTAAAAATATTAATAAAAACAAAATAAAACTATAATAGTACCTCATAAATACAAAAATAACTTGTTTATACTGCCTAGCATCACAACATTGATTAGAGTTTTTAGTGAGATTTATTTATTTATTTTAGACAAAATAGCATCTTATCATACCGGCAGAATCCCTCTTATCACTGTACATATCCAAAAACATGGTATAACCATCAAACAATGCTGACCAAGCTAGTTAAACAATATTAAACGAGCAAGAGTGCTGCTGTTCCTAAATATCAGTGGCTGATTGCCTGCTGATATTCACAAAACAACACGATTCTGAGTTGCTTTGATTCTGAGAACAGTTCAGTGAATGAACATTAAGTTAATATACACAGTATCGTCAGCTGTTTTGTCTGTTTTTGCTTCACCAACGAAAATAGTTAGAGGAAACAAATCCAAAGTAGAAACAACCTCTTCGCGATTCGGGTGAGTGAATGATTCAAAGATTCACTCATCCGGTCCAGAACGAATCAGCGTATTTGAGTGAAACCGTTGAATGAACGATTCAATCACAAAACAGTCACTTGCTACAACCTACTGGTGCAAATACAAACAAAGGACGCTATACAAACAATGTCAAGTCCCTGTGCTGTTAGGGTCCGATCTTTTAAGGCCTCTTGTCCAGATTCAAGGGAACTAATTGTTGTTAAATGTGCATTTTATATATTTTGTATGTTGAATATGTAATTTTCAATATTACCATTTTAACCTGTCCTCTGTTTTCTTTCAATTAGTCTGATGTTGACGATGATCTCGTTGGAGACACTTGTGACACAAACATTGACAGGTAGACTCTGATTTTTTACTTTTCTCTTTGATGGTCAATATAAAACAAGTTTATAACCGAGTTATTTTGTTCCAGTGATGGAGATGGTCATCAGAACACCAAAGACAACTGCCCCACCATCATTAACAGCTCACAGCTGGACACTGATAAGGACGGGCTTGGAGACGAGTGTGATGATGACGATGATAATGATGGCATCTTGGATGGTCAAGATAATTGTAGACTGGTGCCAAACCCAGACCAAAAAGATGAAAACAGTACGCACCACAACATTTGCTTAGTAGGATGTCATAAGTTGTTCAATGAATTAAGACTAATGTTTTAGTTTGCATTTTTTTAAATGCTAATACAGTGACATTTGTGTGTTTTTAAGTGTGACTTAAGTGTTCAACTATTGTATCATAATGTACTTCACAAACCTATAGTGGACTCAGACCACTGATAAAAAGATATTATCAGCTAAAAGTCTTGTTTGCGCTCTTCTTCTTTGTCAGATGATGGGGTGGGTGACACCTGCACTGGAGACTTTGACAAAGATCATGTGATAGACACAATCGACACCTGCCCTGAGAACGCAGAGATCACTCTGACCGACTTCAGAGCCTATCAGACCGTGGTTCTGGATCCAGAGGGAGAGGCTCAGATCGACCCCAACTGGGTTGTTCTTAATCAGGGAATGGAGATTGTCCAAACCATGAACAGTGACCCAGGACTAGCTGTCGGTATGTTTATGTGACCCAAACCATTCAAATCATCTTGAGTATTTCCATGGTGAAAAGAACAGCTAAACCAGCACCGATCCAGTATAGACCAGCCTGGAAATTCATATTGGTCTTAATTGGTCTTTTAAGAAAAGTTATGTCGTTTTCTCTTAAAGGGTACTCCACTCAAAAATGAAAATTCTCTCAACAATTACTGATTCTCATGTTGTAGGCCTACCAAATTTATATGACTTTCTTTCTTCTGTGAAACACAAATGCAGATTTCTGAAAGATAATATAATTCAAGTGGACTGGACCCTCAAAGTTGATGCTTCAAAAACCACACAAAAGAAAAACAATGGTAATCCATTCGACCACATTGGATGAATCAATGTCTTCTGAAGTGAATTTATGGTTTAAAAAGGTTTAAAATATTAGTATTTTTCACACACACCTATTGTTTAGCTTCAGAAGCCTGCGGTCGTATGGGTTACTGTCGTGTTTGTTTGAAGCGTCAACTTTTGGTTTACTGTCCACTTGCATTAAATGGACTTCGTTTTCACAGAAGAAAGAAAATCAAATACATCTAGGATGGGTAAGTAAAGGATGAAAGACTTCTGTGGAGTATCCCTTTAACTGAATAGTAAACAACAATTTCTGTATTAGTTTTGTTTAAATCATGGTTGAAATATAAACTTTAGTATTTCGTTTTAAATGAAAATCTGGTCAAAACATGACACGGTCTTGCCGCCACATACAGGATATACAGCATTCAGTGGCGTGGACTTTGAGGGCACCTTCCATGTGAATACAGTGACCGATGACGACTACGCAGGCTTCATCTTCGGCTACCAGGATTCCTCCAGCTTCTATGTGGTGATGTGGAAGCAGACGGAGCAGACGTACTGGCAGGCGGTGCCCTTTAGAGCCGTGGCTGAGCCTGGCATTCAGCTTAAGGTCTCGGCGCTCTTCATCTCTATTACTGTCTGAACGCTCAGCCTGTGCTTTTATCATTACTGCTGCTCTGCGGAGCCCTCGGCAAATCTAGTAAAGTGGCTTTGGCTAAACTCTGATCCATGCAAAAACACTTAACCGATGTTAAAGCTGTAGCCAAATAGTTATTTTGCACTTCAAGTATGTCACAATTAGATACGATTATTCAAGTAAAATCATAAACACACAGACATGATTCAATATATTTGCATTTCTAGGCCGTGAAGTCTAAAACCGGGCCAGGGGAGTTCCTGAGGAATTCACTGTGGCACACTGGAGACACAAACGATCAGGTGCGTTTGCTGTGGAAAGACCCTCGTAATGTGGGCTGGAAGGACAAGGTGTCCTACCGCTGGAATCTGAAGCACAGACCCCAAGTGGGATACATCAGGTTAGATGCTGTAAATACTGGCGACTTCAGACTTTACTGGATTTGGATATGAGAAACGGTGCACTGAAGCAAAACATGTTTTCGGTGTTTCTCTGTTTTGGCACAGAGTAAAGTTCTATGAAGGTACCGACTTGGTTGCGGACTCTGGAGTTGTTATTGACACTAGTATGAGAGGAGGCCGTCTTGGGGTGTTCTGCTTTTCACAGGAAAACATCATCTGGTCCAACCTGAGATACCGCTGTAATGGTGAGTGCAGTGCTTGAACAATATTAGAACAATGCATTCTTTTTAATTTCACTGTGTATCTTCATGTACATTTTTCTTGACATTTACAGACACAATTCCTGAAGACTATACAGAACAAGCCCAGCAGTAATGAAACTAAGCGGAGATGAAAGAGGAGAGCACTATTAGTGTTAAAACACGATGTGACTGATGTTTTGGGTACTCATCTTTCCAATTAATTATGGACCATTTACTGGCTTTTGCATCAAGACATATACAGGTTTATAGTTATGCTGAATTTACACTTCTGTAATGTTTACTACACAAAAATGCAGTTCAGCCAGAAAGAGCAAAGCCTGTGTGCTACTACATTAAACACTCACTAAAGGTTTTAATATTAATAAAGTGGACAAATACATTTAAATTGTCAGGATTTGTGCTTGGACTTGCTGGACAATGTCATAGACTTGTAATTTTAAAGTCATAGTTTAAAACAAACATACAAATGGTCCATACAACTTGTCCTGTATATTGTACGTTTTCTGTGAGGCTTTGTGTGAGGAACCGACTGATATTTAACATTGACTGGTTTTATTTTGTAAGCCCCATGAAGGTTGTTTCACCCTAAATTACACCTCTAATTGTATACAGTTCAGTCTCATTTTCATATAGTACATGTGTTAGTTGTCTCCGTTCTGTGACTACAAATGACAAAACTTTCATATATAAAACATAAAAAAAAAATTTAATAGACTACACCATTTTATTCATTTGTCTTTTTATTGAAAGAACTGGCAATATCAATAAAAACACTAAAAAGAATATTCATCCTGCAACAGTTAAACTCATATGACCCTTCATGGAACGTATTGAAATGAGAAAACGTTAATAATAATAATAAAGAAAATTCAAGGCATATAAATGGGAAAAAAAAAAAAAAAAGAGTTGTTTGTAAACTTACTGTACATATTTTTGGATTATAATGTCTCCCATGTGAAATTAGAACAACACAAAGCGCAAGATTACATTTTTTGCAATATTATGAGTACACCTAGTGGTCATCTTTACAATGGACTATTTACATAAAGCACATCTTTGTAAATAAAGGAAAGCATAATGTTTAATTCAGACAAACACTTTTAAACTAAATACTGAGCAACAAATAAGGGTTGCATAAAACAGTATGCTTTTAACTTAATGCAGCTGTATCATGTAGCATTTAAGTCAACTATTTGCTAATTTTGATTTGTATAAACAAGCTCTTTTTTTTTTATCACCAGACAGATTCTTCAGCTTTAGGAGAAGTTGTTCAGATCACAAACCGAAAGTAAAGCCGTGCCAGCTCCAATTGTAGTAAAAGAGATTTTGGTTCGTCAAAGCATTTAGGACAGCTACAACTGCTACACAGGAAATAACCATAAAATGTCAAATAATTCCAGTTCTAGATTGTATTTCCTTCATCAACAACAACCACTTTTTTTTTCTACCAGGGAGCATCAGGAGTGCTGCAATACATCTAATACGGGCAGCTCCTGTAAACTGTAAATTAAACACCACAAACAAGATGTACAGACATGCACTTCTAGCAACAAAAACCTCTGAAAAATTCAATAGAATAGCTGTACACAGCTGTAACAATGCTTAACAAAAACTTGTTCTTTGACAAATGGCATGCTTGCAAGTCTAGTGCATGAGCTGGAATAAAATAGTATAGGACATCCGTGGTCTAAAGCACCATTTAAATTGTAACAAAAATCGAAAAATAAGAAAGAAATAAACTATAGCTTCAGTGTTGCTGTGGGCCATATAACAATCTGTGTGGCAGTTTAGGTTTTTGGGGTATAACGATGTGGCCTTGGCTTTGCCCTCCCATTTCAAATCATCATAAGAACATTTACTGGGAACGGCAGTCACATGCTTTCCTTAGAATGGTGTGATTCACTGGAAACACCAGTATGCTCAAAATGTAGACTACCTGAGATTTAAGATGAAGCCGAAAAAGAGGAAACTTCAGGAATGTTGCTGACTTACTTGGAAATATTGTTTTGGTGCAGTTTTATAAGGAAGTTATGAGGGTGCTTCAATAAATACAGTAACAAGACATCTCACTGGAGTACTTTCTTATAGGAATAATCTTGCACAGTAATTTCTCAGCTGGTTTTGATCATGTTTCCATGAGTGCCATTGGTGGTGTGGTGGTTTTGCAAGGCAGCAGTGTCCTAACTAATCAGGAGAGATATCTCTATTAAATAAATAGATACATTTATTCAAATAAGAAGTCTTGTTACCTTAGTGAAACACCCTTGAAGTGAAATACAACTATAAAACACATTTGAAAACTTTTCAAAAAGGCAGACAAATAAATGAATGAAAATCACAGATGGTTTGTTGATTTGCATAGAATTCTTCAGCTACCAAAAGGAAAGGCGTTAACAAGCAAGACACTTACAGGTGATGTGTGAGCCTGAGCAATGCTTTGTTTTTATACCTTCATGTAATGAGGAAAACAATAGCCCTACATCAGCATGAGAGTAACCATAACATGATTTCTGTAACACGTTTCCATAAAACTGCATTTAAAGACAAAACACATAAGCAGCTTTTGAGAAATCAAAAGCTTTTACTATACTTAAACTAATAAAACAAACAAAAAACATTAAAAACAAACAAAACTCTCTTTCACACACACACACACACAGTAGTTGTAAGTGGACAGTGGTGATACTGGAACATGCGTGAAGGGTTTCTAGGCTTGGAATCTCTTTGGGAAGAGCATGGGGACCAACAGGGTCCACATGTACAGAAATAAACAGACCCAACAGGATGCCATCTTGATCCAGAACACTGACCAGCTCCCCTCCAGCAGCCTCTCGATCTTTGCGTTCTCATAACTGCAGAGAGACAAGATCATATGCATATTACACTTTACGCATGGTGACCTCTGTGATTCTAGTGTTAACAATAACAGTCTACTGACTTTGATTTAGTCAGAGGAACTTAAAGTAAAACAAGAAAATCATAGTAATAAAATACAATTAAATGACAATCAATAGTTAAAAAACCATTATGATTTTTTACAAATTATACTATTTATTTTGTAAATACATATGTATATGTCACAGCTGGCCTGAGACATTCAAAAACAAAACAAAAAGGAGTTGTGTTGTGGAATGTTGTTTTTGTTGTTATGTACTTACTGAAACCAGTTGGTTACAGTCATCATGACGTAGAGGGAGCCGAGAAAGAAAACAAAATGGAAATAGCAGTAGCTGTAGATTGTGCCGTCTCTCTCATCATACTTCACATTCTGCCCTCCAGCAGTCTTCTCATCATCATAGTCCTCTGGAAAATATAAAAAACACCTGGTTTAAGAAACCTGTATTACTTCTTTTTGACCACCAGGAGGCATCCATCTACCCTTTTCTACTGTATAAATGAATCCAAATTAGTATCAAAATACATTTAAGCTTTGAAATCTTCAGGTGATGCCCTAAAATACTAAAAGAGGGGTTGGACGAAGTAAGTGTCTTACCTGTATCATCAACACAGCAGAAGCAGCAGCGAGCTCTCTGAAAAGAAAAAAAAAAGCATGATTCATTATATAGTTTGATTTAGATTTTTTTGTAATGTTGTGTTAAACACAGCAGAAAGAGAACATGGCAAATGTTCACCTCATTTTCGGGCATATCGTTCCTGTACACCTGCAAGGCTGTTGAGCTCCTCTTGGTGGTGGAGATCAAACTGAAGGAAGAGGAGTATTATTTTTTTTTTACTCAAATTGCATTAGACACATGGGGGCAGTGTTCTTTTTTTAACCGTCAAATGTAAAAACAGAACATTCCCTAAATTATTCCCAAAACGCCACCAGACAAAAAAAAAAAAAAAAAAAAAAAAAATTTTTTTTTTT